ACCGTTCAGTAAGGGCGCTGGCTGTGCTATACAGTAGCACATACGTGGATATGAAGCAAGTAGATTTTAATGCACATGCATTCACATGCAATGGAAGACAAGACGTGCAATTAGACACATGAATTGGTCAGGTAAACACAGTAATGCAAGAGCTAACCCGGTCGGTGATGATCAAAGACGAGCTGAACGGTGGTGAAAAACCGTCTTCAAGTTGGCCTAAGCGTCTACCGCTACTTGCGCCAATTAGCGCAAGGCAATAATCGAAAGATTGCGATCGAACACAGCCGACAAAGAAAGATCCTCTGATAGATTTTTGGTGTGATAAGTTTCGGCAACATAGACGCATGACAAATCAAGATACGCAACTGAGTGAACTTCTCGTTCCTCATGTCGGAATGCCACAATAATAATTTGGATGCGTGATCGGAATGACAGAGGAAAGACTCGCAAGTCAGATTTCCATAAAAAGTTACATGGAAGACAGCTAAGGTGCTGACCGAAGACTATGCGGATAGACTGATGTATAACTGCATTTTGTTGTGTCTTTGAAGTCGGCCAAAGCAGATTTTCACCTGACGACTTATCTGAATCATTGGAAAAAATGTCCTTAAATCTCTGCACCCGAGACCCAAAGACAATATCAATAATAAGCAATATCAATAAGAAAATGAACGAAGCAGAGAATTGCTTGTGGCCTTCACCGACGCAAAAGTAAAAGAATGCGCCGCCGCTTGAAACTCGAAGTACTATTTTTCAAACGTGTTACAATCAGCGCATGATAACGGGAAATCAGATGCGAAAGCGAAGTATAGTGAAAATAGGTTGCGTAAATCTCAGCCGCAGCCATTAAGACATTGCGTGAACTTCTATTGTAACCTAACAAATTAAAAGCGAGGGCACCGACTGATGTTTACCTGGCGTCACAAATGACCTGGATCGAAGAACGATATCATTAGTAAACATGTGGAAGGATGAACTGGATCCACTTTCCCGTAATTATCACCGAAATTGAGATAATCAACTTGATTATGGTAGCGGCTACCTTTTGAACGGTGAATGATGGATATACGAATGAGATGATGCTGAGAATCAGATTGAAACCCGTCGGGGAATCTTGTATTCGACACATCGAGTTCACAAATCACACTGTAGTTCGACAACAGAATACCCGGCTATATGAACAGAGTCGCATTTTTGCATTCACTGACAGCTATGCTATTTATTGACGCCGCTGACCTCGCTGCTTCTTTGTAGAAATAGCCTAATGTTTAATGTTTATGTAGGATTTAATAAAAATGATGTCAACTGAAAGCCAATTGGAATGCCATATTTGTGCTTAGATGCAAAATTTTATGAAACGCATATGCATGATAACTAATTCCGGTATTCTCGGATTACCGGCGACCTATAAGGGCATCATCATAACGTCAATTGACACGATGACAAACTTCGTTTTATGTTCAGAGGGGATGAGAGCATTAATTTGCATGGTTTAGAAACGCTACCTTGCTGAAGAGCCCAAACGGTGCGAGGGTGTTCTTCTCTTCCCTTTCACTGATCTCTTTCATCGAAGTTTTCTGAGTATTTCAAATTGGCTTGCTAAAAAGAAATCATCTTCTATTCAGTGGAATTGGAAATGGCGAAGAGACAGTTTCGCCGTGCTTTCTTCTGTAACCAATATGAATGATGTCTTCCAACTTTTCCATTCTGATAAAATTAATTCAAGGAATATCCTACATAGTTCAACTAATGGGACGATTTTATTGATTACGGAGAATTTAAGCACATTCGCTGACGGAGGCAGAGAAAATAATAAACATGGTGAACTTGTGATATATGCAGTGTATGAGAATAACTATAACGATTATATAATACCTGCTTTATATTTTAAAAGTGATGCATTTTTTCTTTTAAGCTCTGGACAGTGCTTAATATGACTGTTTGTTTGTTTGGTTGAGGCGTTGAATCGAGTAAAAGTGCAGATATTATCGAGCAGGAAACATTTAAAATCTTACGTAAATGCTTTTCGGCTTGTTGGAAACTAAGGCGTCACTACAGAAGCGGTACTGATCAAAAGCCTGTGAATTAAACAGGGGTTCTCAATATTTTTTTATTTCATGATTTGGAGATCTGATACAGCATTCTGCTGATCAGTAGCAATACTGAGCACCAGGCGAAACAGGAGAATTCGATTCTTTCTGATATGGCTCTATAGATCATTCGGAATATGTTGAATATTAAACATTGATTGTCGCTTTTTTCTTTGTTACTTTCATTTTTGACTTCCAACAATTGGAAGAAACAAGGGAAGCGGAATTATCAGTCAGCGATGATTAATTCGTCTCAATAGAGGCAGCAGTAATGGGTTTTTTTCCATAAA